CAGCTTATTTAAGAATTGACATCAGCAGCTATGAAGGAGGAAGACATTTTGAGAGAAATTGCTTTAAAATGAGGAAATGAACGACTTCAAAAATCTATCAGTCTTATTTAAAATTTTATGACTTCAATGAGCAGATCTTCACAAGACAATTTTCATGGCAAAAATTCATAGAAATCTATCAAATATTCACAAAGTTATGACCTTGTGTGCCAATTTGCACTCTTAGAGTCTCAAATAAAAATCTACGAATTTTTTAATTGTTGTGTTCTACTCATGGCCCAGATGAACTGATGATGTGATACATGTATGATTGATTGTACAGAAGAATCTTAGCAAGATGTTTTTCTTCTGGACAGTATGGCATTCAAATAAATTAGTTATTTAAACTTCTCAAGCATACTGGTCATGTTTCATGTTATTTTATCACATGTTAAAAAATTGATTTAATCTTTTGTCCAATGCAAACTTGTATGCTCCAGATGTGAGAATGCTGACGTCACTCTTTTTTCGTTTATCAGGAATTGTGAATCTTGTAGACTAATCTTGTGCGCTCTCGATGTAAACATGTTGATCACGTTCTTTTTTTGTCCCAAAGTGGAGATTGTGTGGCTGACTAATTGCTAGCCCATTGGACTCCTGATTGAGTGGTCGGGGTTCGAGCCCTGGCTGGGAATACTGCGTTTTGTTTTAGGGCAAGACTCAACTCTCAGAGTTCCTAGCTTGGTTCATTGCATGGTTAGTTCTTTAAAATGTAAATAAGATCTTTGTGATCCTCTCAGGGTAATGTTGGTGAACCGGGAAAACCTGGCAATGATGGACAGCCTGTAAGTATTAATTAGAATTAATCCCTGTTTATGTACATGAGCAAATATTAGAAGATGTGCAACAGTTAAGCAGAAGTTCAAGCTTTAGCCTGTAAAACCAATATGCAAATTCAAATGTATGCGAGGAACTAAGCTCGTTTCAATTATGCCCTGTCTTTGTTTCTCATCATGCTACTTTTATCACAAAGGCTTTGTGCATCTCATGGTGTGATAAGGACTGATGATGATAATCACATATACCACAGGACTCTTAATTGGAATCTATGATTTTGTTAACTTTGTTGGGGTTTTAGGGAGAAACTGGACTAGTTGGTGCTCGTGGAAAGACTGGCAAACCAGGCCCTCAAGGGCAAAGAGGGCCAGAAGGATCTCCTGGATCACAGGGTCCCCAGGTACAACTGCTATGCTTAACTGTCAGTCAGTCTTTATCATATGCACAGTACAGTGGAACCCTACCAGTAATGGCTGTCCCATTCATGGAGCCACCTTGTTATTACAGTGACTTAATTCTGTCTTGAAAGAAAACTAAGTCAGTCATTTTCTTATTTAAAAAAAACCCCTTTAATTGATAAGGCCACCTGATAATATGGCAAGATTTTTGTGGCACATTGGTGACCAGATTAACGGGGTTAAAAATATTATAATTGTACCTGGCATTCAGGTGAATCACTCACAAGACAGTCAGCAAGCCACCAGGAAAGAAAATGGCCCGTTCTGTCTTCACTTATATAAACAATTTTAACCTGCGCAGTATACCCTTCATGTTGCCACACCAAAAATGTCTCTGAAATATATGCAATTGAGGTCTGGTCACAATCTAAGGTGTGTTTCTGTGGTCAGATAAATGGCTCTATTAAAATATAGGACAGTCCTCTAACTTGCACAGTACAATTAATTCTGCCATGCATTTAGGATTTATAATGGATAATAGAACTTTATGTCCTGTTCTATTGTATTTGTCAGACTGGACGGCTCAGTTAGTCGAATTTGAGAATTTCTGGGTGTCCCCATTTCATTTTTCATTTTTCTCTTCATGCATTTCTCTCTAGATTCCCAACCTCCTAGAACTTCTGCTTCCTGGCCTTTCTCCTCCTGCCACCCATATCAACCCCTATTCTCCTAGGCTCCAGCCTTCCCTGTCTCCCCCCTCCCCGCACGCACCCCACTTCAACTGAATACAAACTAACAGAACACTTTTCTTTTTCTCACCAGGGTCCAAGAGGTCAGACTGGGACTCCGGGAGCTGTGGGTCTTACTGGCGTTAAGGGTGATCGTGGAGAGCCAGGCATCTTAGGTGCTCCTGGGGAAGCAGGTGAACCAGGGCTAGGGGGAGAACAAGGCCCAAAGGGCGAGGCCGGAAGGGATGGAGCAGCAGGAAGAAGTGGCAGCCCTGGAGAGAAGGGAGGAATGGTATGTTAATGAATCTTGAGATAGATAGAGAGAGTTAAGCTTTTATTAAAATCACAGCTCTAGAGCTGAATTAGATAAAAACATTACAAATGAATTCAAATAATAAAGCTATGCTAAAATGTGATCCATGAAAACCACCAAATAAAATCATCTATAATTGCTGTAGAAAAAGCTATTCTTTAGTCTGTTTGTTTTACAAATATGAATGTGATATCTTAATTATTATTATTCAGATCTTGTTATTATTCAGTTCTTATTATTATCAGATTCTCTGATAAAAATCTGTATAATTTGTGATCAGGATTATTAATGATGTCCAGAAACACTTTGACTGTTCAAATGGGACTTTCTCAGATCAAACAGTGTCTCTAAACTAGTGAGTCCTAGTGCCTCGTGATAGGTGACATGATGGAAGATAATTCTCATAGTATGCCTCTGTAAGCCCTCCAGCTCATCTGACTTCTTTTCCCCAAATTCTTGCTAAGTTTAAAACAAGGAAAAAGCCTTTAAATGTCACTTCGCAAAATTTTCAAGTAAATGTTAGGTTTCATTTGAATGGTCGTGCAAAACACTAAGGGTTTCCTGCAGAGACTCAACAGTTAGCACATAAATGTATTACTCCTCGAGCTTTCATTTCAATTGTTGCATACCACCTTGTGCAACAAACTAGATGCTCTAACAAGAGTTAAGCTTAGATATATTACTGCTCAGGTTGCTTCATTATCCTCTTTATCCAATTCCTTGTTGTTTGCCCCATCTTTGAAGTCCTGTTTACGACATTTCTTGAACTCGTACATGGCTCATTTGTTATCTTGTGAGAATGAGCCTGAACTTTGCTTATTTGTCAGGCTTTCAAGAAATGTAATTTGTGGACTGACCCTGACAACCTTACAAGGTTTACTCAATTTTTTAAAATTTTGCACCAGGAATTTCCATTCACTAATCTCTTTGTTCTCGGAGTGTCCTGCCTGGTATTTTTGTTTGAGTGTTCTGTATTTGGTAAATTCAACAATTATTCTTGGATTTCTGGAAAGTTTCCATTGATACTAGTTGTTTTCAATTAGAAAGTTATGGGATTTTTGGTGGAATGGATAGTGTGTAGTATCTCATATTTATTTTTTCATGCATTTATGCTAGGGTCTTCAAGGGTTACCTGGCCCTGCCGGCCAAGCTGGAGCCCCAGGAACTGCGGTAAGTACTGTTATAGGTACAACTCTTTTTTCCATTGTTCTCAAGATGATTTCCCACTGAACATTTGAACGATAATGGCAAAAATAAAGTTACCAAAAAATACTCACATCATGGTAATATTTTGAATACAGAAGTTATCAAGACTTAAGCTCTCAATCTGACCCTGCGAGAGAAAATTGAAGTTTCTCCATTCCATTTAAAATGGAGAATACAAGGTTTGGTATTAATTTTCTAGAGAATGCTTGAGAATTCAATTGTGGGGTCACTTAGAGAAATGAATTAAAGTGAGATATTTTAAACAGTATTCAAATAGTTACCATGCTATGAGTAGATTTTTAGTTGAAAACTTTTTGCATTTACTGCTTGAACTTCAAGGGTGTAGGCCATAAATCAGAGGGGAAAACTGGACAAACCAGTTACAATCATATCTTATTATCCAGGCCAAGTGCAGGGGCTGTTTTGGGAGAATATTAGCCTGAGGTCTTGATGGTGTAGACTGAGTGCAGTGAGGTCAGTGCAAAAAGACTGATACAGGGCCAATATTCTTCCAGTACAGTCCCAAGTACGCTTGGTAAATAATTGATTTATTTCATGCCTTGAATGAACATTTTTAGAAAAAAATGCCATGATCATGGACTGGAAAAACATCGCAAAAATTCAAGTGCACAATCCTGGTTGGGAGGACTTGAGGTACACTCGGGTCTGATGTGCAACAAAACAAAAGGGAAAGAAAGTATGGAAAGAAAAGAAAAAGAATCTTTTATGCAAGAGCGATTCCTTTCAGAAACTGAAGTCAGAAAACTACCAGAAAATCTTAAATAGTGATTATGCAGGATCATTCAGGACAGTGCCTGGTCCAATACTTAGAGAATATTGGGCCAGTAATACCGACATGTGATTGGTTGATTTTCATATTGGCCCTCTCAACTAACTTAGTTGCATAATTAAGTAGAATATGGCCTGCTAATTTATTACTTGAGCACAGCACAAGAGCTTAGAGGCTTTGTACATGTGTGTACCCAGCATGAACTTGAAGCATGAACATGAACTTGCAGCCTCGATAGAATGTCATTACATATTCCTTTCATGTGCTTTCTTTAAACCTGCATCTTGCTGTTATTTTAAAGTAGGACTGAGTTTATCCAGGATGAGTGGATATCACTTCTCCAATTTGTTTTTATCATAATATATTGAACCTTACATAAGGTCAAACTGTCAAAATGATCAGGAAAGGATTCTTTGAAATAACAATCTCTTGGTTCACTTAAACTCTGGGAAGAACATTTCGTTCATCGTACTACAAATAAACTTAAGTCAGTTAACTCTTATTCTCTGTTGAAATTTAACCAAGGTGTTTATTGATTCTGTGATTCCTTTTTTATAATATCTGATACTGAATCTCACATGATGTTATTACCATATATTTTTTTCCCTATAGGGTGTGCCTGGAGCTCAGGGAAGATCGGGTAGTCCTGGAGACAGAGTAGGTGTCAGTGCTGTCATAAAGTTTTGAGTTTCCTGCTGCCTTGATCTTCACACTTGTAACAAACTTGTTATGTTGTGGGTGAGCTATATCTCAACAACAGGAAAGTTCGCAAGTTCACCAGCAACTTCAAGGGTCCATTAAGTATAATTAGCAGTGACAGGCATTACAGGTTACGGCCCTTAATGCCAGGCTCAAGTATAAAACAAGTCTTTTAAGATTTAGCATTGCAGCAATAAACAGTTTCATCTTTAAATTATGGTTAGGTTGTTCAACTGTGGGTGTTGGTTTGCACTTTTGCCCTCAGTCAAAGGACTCGCATCCTAAGGTGACAATCCTAGCAGCCTTGTGCTCTAGAAACTGGAGTGGAACTCTACGCTGTCAGGCCACTAGTAACTCTACTTACCGTAGCAGAATTACAGGTGGAATTTTCTCAGCCATTTATTTTGTTGGAATGCTGTGGCACTCACAGAAGTATAAACTTAATAAGATTATTTTGAGCAGGATAATTAACCTAGTCCTCTTTCAATGCAGGGTCGACCAGGGCCTTCTGGATTACAAGGAATGAAAGGTGAAAAAGGCTCCCAGGTAAATAATAAACATTGGTACAGATATGCAGAGGATATTACACTGTGGTATGAAGATATGAATTTTCTTTCTGAGTAGTGAAAACAATATTTTATGAACGAAGGTAACAAGTGAGTTAAGTACATTATATTTTTTTTTGGAACAAAAAAATCACATTTGTATCGTTTTGCCCTGTGTAAATTTGTTTTATCAATTTGCTTTTGACGGTAAGATTCAAGTTTATCTGTAGATACTTGAAAGTATTGTTCATTTTATATAATTTGGCAACCTGGATGGTGATGAAAAATGCCACTGCTATTGTCTCCCTGATTGGTCTTTATTTTGCAATGTGCTAACTTACATGAATTAATGAAATTTTTCGAACCCTTATGCCTCCTCTAAGATTTATACAGGATTGAATGATTGACAACCTTTAATTAAAGCAGTGTATGAAGAAGTACAATGTACACAGTTTCCTCAACTGTTATCATGATAATTTATTTAAAGTAATTCATGATCTGTTGTTAGCTAGGGAATTGGTGTTCCAGATAACTTGGGTCTCAGGTTAAAAACCTAACAAGGCCTGATACCTAACCCGACAAAGTAACAGGAAACGTCTGAGATTTAGTGAGGCTTTCAATCTATTGACCTGCTTTCATTTTCTCGTTGAAACTTTGCCTTTAAAAACGTATGTGAATGGAACTCTGGATATCAAAGCATGGCAAAAAGCATGGTTTCAAATTCAGAAGGAGGGCAACTGGTTTTCACAGGCAGGCAATACTTTTTGAACTGAAATTCTTCAGACAAAAAACTTACCCATAGATGGTTAAACCAGACAGGCAAAATCATCTGCCTAATCATCCTGGTCAGTTTGCCCGGTGACTGGCCCTTAATGAAATCTCTGAAAAAGTGGTTACACTTATGGCCTTGTTAGTACTTGCAGCTAACTTCATGCAACCGATCCCAAAATGGCAGCCTAAATTGTTCCAATCCTGCTGACTATGTATGCTGACTTCTAAGTTTGCTCTTGTTATGCTTCAGGGCGCACGTGGTCAACCTGGACCATCGGGACCTACAGGCCGGAGTGGAAAACGGGTAAAAACATCACAGTCATGTTACTGACAAAACGTTGTGACACATAACTGGGCTGTTTTGATTCTTTTGAATAATCTGCTGTAAAATTTTCAATATAAATAATACTACTACCCCAAAACCAAGCTCAAATGCAACAAGCTCCATTAATTATCTCCCCCTGAAAAGTAGAGCCCATAAGCTTATTTTCTAATTGAGCCATAAAGGTCAATAATTTTTGTAAACCCCCCTACTATTCGCCTTGTCTTCCATTTCTATATTGCCACAGTATAATCAGAGGTGTTGGATGTCATTTAAAGGAGCTCAGTCAGGGTTTGCGTATATTGAAAAGGAAATTTTGTATGAAGCCAAAATAAATCAAAATACTGTGACTGAACCTCTTTAAGAACTACAGGAGAAAAAGATTTAGGAAGATTCCCAGGTCAAACCTGATCAAACATTTTTGGTGCCAATTTGGTTGCTAATCTATGTCTTGATTGTCACTCAATGCTTGTTAATCATTTTTCAGGGTCGAACAGGAGCAGAAGGGCCGCCGGGACCTAGTGGCCCAATAGGAGCACAGGTGAGTTGTCAGTATGTGAACCTACAGCACTGTTTCAATAGGGCCATAGGTGAGTGGTTATTTGGTGGACCTACTGTTTCAATAGGGCCATAGGTGAGTAGTTAGTGTGTGACCTACTGTTTCATTAGGGCCATAGGTGAGTAGTTATTATGTGTGCCCACTGTGTTTTTTGTTGACAAACATATGGTTATATTTGGATTTTGAATTTCAAGGGAAAGTTTATTTACTGTCTGAACAACATTCTAAAAACTTGTATTGATGTTCTCCATTCTGTTATACCATATACAGATCTCTTCTCTTAAGAATTCTGTATGCTCTCAATATCTATAGACACCTTATACAATAAGTGGAGACTGACTAGCAAACTTTTGGGTTACTTTAGTTTCCAGACTCAAATGTACATTATTTTTCTGTCCTTTTATTTTTATGTAATTTTGTAATGCTGTAATTAATGTATGACCCAATAAAATTGCTGTTGTTTAATTGTTAGGGTCCTCCTGGTTTGCGTGGCGCACCTGGTGCAGATGGTCAGCCTGGCAGAAAGGTAACTTAATATAGGTTTTGCGACACTTCCTCTTTTTCCATGCATGTGAGGAAGTAGTGTCATGATGTCAAGGCAGAAAAATTGCTACTCTATGAACTTCTTAATCAACTTTTACGATAACTGCAGAAATTCTTGCTCGCTTATTGGCTAATTTTCAAAGTCAATAAGCGGACAGACACGTGAATTAATAATTTATGCAATGCATCAACAAGCGAGAGCAGACAATTTGACAATTTGTTATCGTAAAAAACAAATTGATGTCAGTTTTTTGATGTGTCTGTCCTGTTATTGGCAATGAATTTTGTCACAACATTGTCAAAGTAGTCTGTGGATCCACTCAGCGATTGCCTTGTGGATCCACATTTACTTTGACAATGTTACGATGTAATGACTCACACAGAGTTTGTTATTCTTGAACAAGTACAGTATGAAAATTTGGAACAACCTGGAAAAAGTATTTCTGAGCTGTCAGTATCAACTGTTCAACTGCTGCATGAGATCTTTGTCAGCTAGTTGTGTTTCAGTAATCTCCCTCTTTGTCTTATAGGCAAAATGTTTAAACCCAGAATCCCATGAACTCTCTCCACCCAACCCCTGTTTGTCATTACTTTGTCAGGTTTTTTGTGGACTCCCTGGTGGTGATTGTTTTCAGGAAAAAAATGTTAATAATGGTTTGGAAGAAGTATTTTACAATTGTGACAATTATGGTGAATTTATTTATCTTGTAGGGTTCACTAGGGGCTCCTGGAGCCAATGGCGCCAATGGAGCTAAGGGAGATAAGGTAAAGTGGTTACATACATGCATACATACGCACTTTATTGGAACTCCCTTTAACAGGGCTTTTCAGTCACAATAAACTAACTATTAAAAAAATACTAGAAATTAAAAAACTTATTTACAATAACAATTTAATTAAAAAGTAGTTAATATTACTTTGAATGCAAGGCTGGCATATATTCCTATTTATTATAATACGTTATTTGCTAATAAATAAATTAATCTTATTTTTTTCTCGACTTGCTTAGGGATCTGCTGGTGATCGTGGCCAGCCTGGTCGACAGGGTGCTAAGGTAAATACCTAATAATAAATTAATAATAAAATCGCAGCCAACTTGAGCATTGATCAATTTGCAGTTTAGAAATTTAGCTGAAACTTGCCATCTGAAACTTGACTACAGCAAAAACCTGTGTACAAGAGCCTACAATTTTTTTTGCAGTATGGCAAAATAGGTTCTTTTATTTTGGGGTAGGTATTGGTAATTTAGGCCAAGGAGGTTCTCAATTATTTTCTTAATTTCTAGGAAGGAGATATAGATTTTGATTATCAGAAAAAATAAAAATAAACTTGGATTTGATCCTTAAATGTGACAGTATTTATATGTGCAGCTGTATTTTGCTAAGCCTAATACAACTGATTTCAGAATTTATATGATGTATTGTTGCCTCTACATTAAGAGTTCATAATTTTATTTTAACTGTAACCCACATATTATTGATATAAGAACCTACTTGATCTTGCTTGGCTACTGGCAAGGTAGGAGGGTTCAACTGTAAGTTATTCATAGACTGACTGCCAAGTAAATGATTTTGTTCAAATTTAGTTATCACTTTACATGTCACATTTGTTATCTAGGGGCCTACTGGTCAGCCGGGAGTAGCTGGACGTGATGGCAAGACTGGTTCACCGGTATGTACAGTTCATTTACAGCCAGTTTAATTTAAAGATATTGTGGTTTTACTCTTTTGCGTAAGCTGCATATAAGTAATTGTGTTAAATTTAGAAACACAAACTTGTGGAAGCCTGGGAAGAATGATAAATAAATTTGTATTTTGGACCATCAGTGCATGGATAAACCAGGGTTTTCCCTTACGCGCATATGCGCGTCCGAGACACGCTGTTTGCCTGAAAAATGGAAAAGGGATGCAAAACGGCAAGGAGAACGGGTCCTCTCGGACGCACATGGTTCAGGATGGTAGTGTACTACTGACTTAATTTAAACCTGAATAGATCTGCGAAAAATTCTTTTGAGAATAAAATTAGAATTTGGAATCTTTGTCCTGTTTTCTTAGTCCATCTTTCAACTCCCAAATCTCGCAGATTCACTCCTTTGAATCGACTATTGCAGCGCCACCTTTTGTTTTTGTCGTTCTCAAGCTTGCTCTTGCTGTGAACTCCTCGCAGAGGCTTGAGAACTAATGCGCGATTGTGAGGCATTGTGGGGCACAATGCAAGATGGCAGATTTGGAATTACAGCCCGCGAAAAAAAAACCGCGTTTCTTGCCAGCTTGGATGGAAGAATTCATGTGGTTGAAAGAAGAAAACGAAGAAATGTATTGTGATATATGTAAGATGACAGGTAAGAAAAACACTTTCATAGCAACTGGCTATAACAATTATCAGAAGTTGGCCCTGGAAAGGCACCAAAATTCGAAAGATCACATTACGAGTATCAGTGACCTCAAGAGAAAAAGCTTTCAAGTGACAGTTGTAAATGCAAAGAATAACATTGAGTATGAAACATAGGAAATCACGAGAAGACACATTGTCCAGCTTAGAACAGTATATGTTATGACGAAGAACAACATTGCTTCTGATAACTTTATTCCAATAGTGGAACTTCAGGCTGCTAATGGATGTAGTGTCGATGCTTCTGTTTAGTTTCAGAAATGGAATCTGTTTTGGCCAAATGTGTTGAAGATATTTTGATAAAAAAACTATTTTATTTTATTTTTTTTTTTTTCTGATTCTCGCACACCTTTTATTGGACTGATGCTTCATGAAACATGTGCCATCTCCATTGAAAATAAATTAGCTATTTATGCCAAAAGTGAAAAGTTTTGAAGTTACTAAATTGTTTGCTGAACCTTGCACCCTGTTTTGAAAAGAGATGCTACTGGTACAGCTAAAGAGGCTACTAGACCAAATTTCAACTTATTTTTAGTAGCATACAAGTATGTTGAGTTAGCAGAATTTTCTGTTGTAGCTTATAACTTTCTGACTGAGTTTATAAATCAGTGAGAAATACCTTTAGAACTTTGTTCCTTTTTTAATGAGAAAACATAACAGAAACTGATTGAATAAAATATATGTTTATTTATTCTTGGTTGCCTCAATATTACTGTACAGCATATAATTAATTACCAGCCAAAAGATTAGATTGTTCTCCTGGAATTTAAAACTCTAACCGTGGTACCCCCACTTTTTTCTTCTGGACCCTCAACCTTAGGTTGAAGGAGTCCAAGGGACTCCCAAAGGAAAAATTGTAGGGAAAACCCTGGATAAACATTTTTAGAAAAAATGACAGTAGGTAGTTTTGGTAGTTTTAGTAATTTTAATAATTGTATATTTTATATTTTAGATCTGTGATACTTGTATTTCTTATTTTAGATTTTAATACTTTTTATTTTATAGAGGACCTCCTTGAAAACCACGTATTTACGTGACGGGCGCTTCCTCTTTAAAGATTGTTTTTATTATTATTATTGTTATTGTTATTGTTATTGTTATTGTTATTGTTATTGTTATTATTAATATTATAAACCTCTAAGTTGTAGCCAGGGCTTGAGTAACTTTTTATTCTCACCTGCGCGATGGGCAAGGGATGAGGCAAGTTGTCTGCCAATTAAATCATTAAAAGAGCAAACTAAAACCTGCCCAGGGCAAGCGAAACTTGAGAGCTACTTGTCTCAAGGGAAAGCTGGACTTCACCTTTTTTTTTTGAGCCTTGGTTGTGTAATTGTTAAGTAGATCGTTACTCAGTGGTTTGTTTTAAGACGCAGTAACGCAATCTTGTACAAGAATAATGTTGAGTATAACAGAATCCTTTTGTTTGCATTTTCTAAAAGCTAGAGATAAAAATAATTGCCTGAAATAACACCAAAAACACAAGTTTCCCCATAGGAACTCGAGAAAATAAATTTCAAAGTTCAGAGAAATTGTGCAAACATAGGTAAAATTTCATCATCAGTTTTATTTCAGTTAAATTTCATTTGAAGGAAATAATCTTGGTTCAAAGTTTTTTGTCCGCTTGTTACTCGAACTTCTGGTGGATACCTTCTTAATATTTATTTTAGGGTGACCCAGGAGCTGATGGCAAACCAGGAGCTGCAGGACCTCAGGTATGACTGGTCAGCAGTTCATTTTGGAAGATAATATCCTTGATACCAAGATCTTCAGGCATGAAGTAATGTATCAAACATGAAAGACCATGTCTGACCACATGTCCAAACATTGAGAAGAAAGTTGAAAATAGGATGCTACCGGATTATTTTTGACAAACTTCAAGGTGTTTGGAAATCTTCTTAATTGAAACTAAAATTAAGGAGAAAACAGGGAGGTAAAATTGTAAAAATCTATGCTGATTAAGATAAGATATCCAAACACTGTCACTGTCATGATTTCCTTGATAAACTTGATAAACTTGATAAACTTGATAAAATCAATTAATTGTTAATGAATTTGAGAACCACAATTTCCAGAATTTACATTGCAGTACTTTGAATTACTTATATGTTGACTAAAATGAATCAGAATCATTTAGTAGTTGCTTGCAATAGAGAAAACTTATTTCTATTGAAATCCCAAGAGTGGTCATGGTACTTTAGCAAGCTACATGTATAAGAAGTGGGAGCAGTTGCTTAAGAGAGATTTTAATTACGAAGTTTGAGAGTCTTGCAATTCAAATGAAGTTTCATAGTCACTGTAAATAGAGCTGTTAGCTTGCACAAGTTGCTGCAAGGAGACTGTAGAGGTACTATACAGCAGGGTATTGAATAGACCTGCTTTTGCAAAGGACATCTGATTGGTTTGAATTGATACAATACTTCAATATATTCTGTATAATCAGGGAGCACCTGGAAACCCCGGACCAAGCGGCTTAACAGGAGCAAAAGGAGCAATGGTTAGTAAAATAGAGAATAGGTCAAAATTTCCTAGGGATATTGCATGATTACTATTATTATAATTATAGGGCAGTGTGGCTGAGTGGCTAAGGTGCCAGACTTGAAATCCAAAGGGTCTTACTCTGACCACTAAGCTGGAGTTGTTTCTTGGTAGACCCTAGTTCGACTTATCAGTCATGTTTGTAAATAGCCAACTGGTCTGTCTCCCCCAGTTGAGATTTTTAAGCGTATTATGTTCATTTTAAATATTTATTGTTTTATTCCAGTTTAAGTGGTATACCTGAGAACTAGCTAGGTGGGTGTAGCTAAATGGATGGACCATTACATGTATAAAAAACAACAATATTTGATCTGTTGAACTACTGGAAAAATGCTGAATAATTGTTATTGTATGGCAGCCGGGAATGAGCAAATCAATCAACCACAGGCTGCCTGCAAGTCAGTCTGTGTGATCTTGACCCTGACCAGGGTAAAACGTGACTGATTTGTCCGACAAGTTCATAACACCTTTTGCCCCAAATATCACAATTTGCATGTCATAACTCCTGGTTTTCATTACTTGGTTAATTAAGTCGCAACTCTTCTCTCTAGTTTCCTAAAATTGACATTCATTGGATTACAGGCCTCACTATTTTATGGTCTATACAGTATGGAGCCCAGTTCTCGGCCACAAAAAACATAAACTTGTATTTCTTACCTTAGAATAGCCGTAAGGACTTAAAATTTCACACATAACTAGCTTCAGCATTCAGTTTACACCTGTAGAGCTATCAACTGCTCAACGCTGTTTTCTCCTGAGTAATAACGAAAATGGCGGCTTCGTTCATGGGTCCAGTTATCGGTCAGTGGGCCCAGTTCTCGGCCACAAAAGAGTGCACGCAATTCCTCAGAATAAACAATGCTTTATTACCATTTTTTGTTGTTAAATCACTTATAAGGCTTGTGTTTTGATATTTCAATCACAAATTACCCTTAAAGAGCTTTGTTTCACATTAGAAGAGGAAGTTTTTTGCACACCTAGCTTTTCTCTTAAGTGCAGTCAAGCGAGGCTGAAAAAGAGTTGGGTATCTAAACCGGGGTTAAGTCAGAGCTCATAGTTTTCAGCATGCCACCCCATTACAGCTTTATTTTTACAGCCGACTTGACACGAATACTCCACACAAAACTATGAGCGCTTCTAGTGTTGTAGGCGAGCAGGGTGGCCGAGAATAGGCAAATACGCAAAAGTACTAAGGAAATATTGAGGAGTGAATTTAGGTCAAAGAATTAAACAGGCCAGGAAAGTTAATATTTAACAGATAGCTTTATCACTCTACATCCTTTATGCCAAGAATTGGCTCATTTGGGCTTTCTAGACAGACAAAATGTAAACTTGAATTAAACCATGTAATTTGAGTAGCCGTAAACAAACACGTTTTGGGGGAAACCAAATTCACCTACCTTCATGTCACCTCAACATGCTCACAGAAAAACTTGGCAGGACAAAACAAAACTCAGCAGAACGGAAGACAAGCAATCAAGCTACCTTTGGAAACAATTGCTTTTTATTCAGATTCATTTGTAGCACGAAAAATAAATGCTGAACAAAAAGTGGCTGAGAACTGGGCCCCACACTGTACTGTCATCAGCCATAGCTCTTGATCAATGACCACTCATAAATGGCATACATTTAATTAAGAACTAAAAAACATTACTTTGATCACCAAAATGTGAACTCTCTTTGCTTGCGCCATCATTATGTCAACAGCTTGTGCTAGTTCTGTGTTTCTATCGAGTTGTAGAAACATGATATCAAACCAATCAGCATGGGTATTTTCTTTGAGCTATTTTCTTAACTGTACTAATATAGTGCATGTTTTATTTTTTTAGGGAGAGCCTGGGGTAGCAGGTGAACCGGGACCTCCGGGAGCTCAAGGAGCAAAGGTAATGATAACACGTCAGCTGCAATGCAGTTATACGCAGCCACACCTTGATGTTTGTTTCCCATGAGGGACCTAACAGAAGTTTAGTTTAGGTTGTGTCACCAAGGCCTTCAAACCCTGGCCCTGTTCAAAACGAGATGCCTTGCCGTAAACTTCCTAAAATAATGACTTTTGGATGGTCACTACTTTTTTGGATTTATTAGGGGCCACAATTTTTTGAGGTTACTTTCAGGGATCGCTGATTTCAGGGGCTTGTTACTTTCAGACATTTACAGTATTTTGTAACCCCATGTAAGAAGCAGTCTAGTCATCACATACTGTTTTGAAGACTGCGATTTGAAAAAATATGTTGTGCTGTTATGCAACATTGAATGCCTTGTCACTGATTGAACTTGAATCACAAAGTAGGGTAACCTGCTTCTGACAAATATTATAGATGCTCACCTACACTTATTTAATGATTTTGATTGAGACACTAACTAAAAAACAATTAACAGTGAAATTGACCCTGTTTCAGGCAAAATGCCTCACAACACATATACCTCAGTTAGCATACATACCAACTTAGGTAAAGTGAGGTGATGACCCCTCCCCTCCATGGGGGTTTATTTACATTTAACTTGTTTTATTAGTATTTTTGGCCATTAGGGACCCACTGGGGTGTTGTCAGTAAGGTCATGGGGAGTTATTAACTTAAAATTTATTGATCAACTTTGATCTGTGGACTTGAGGACTCCAGGAATGGTGTCTGTTTCTTTGGAAGATGGTCTCTTGATGTGGGCATGATGGCAATATTATCCTTGTATGTTCTGTGAGATAACCACTGGGTCTGTATCATTTTTGTGTCTCCTCAGGGTGAGACTGGAGCAGATGGAAGACGTGGACTTACTGGAATACCTGGGAAAATGGTATAACATGAGATAACTTACATTACCAGCGACTTGACTTGTAACAGCACCAGTGACCTGACTTATAACAGCATCAGTGATGTGACTTATTACTGCACCAGTGACTTCACTTATAACAGCATCAGACACTTGACTTATATCAGCGCTGGTTTCTTGACTTATAACAGCATCAGTGACTTGAATAATAACAGCACCAGTGACTTAACTAAGAACAGTACCAGTGACTTAACTAAGAACAGTACCAGTGACTTAACTTATAACAGCATCGCTTGTTGACTTATTCATTATGGAAAACTCACGCTCAAAGTCAACTTGAATGAAATATCTACAGTGTACCCTGGAGGTCTTGATAAAAGCGTTCCTTCTTTGGATAAATCTTTGCTACGTAATGCTTCTTCCAGATAGGCAATGATCAGGGTTCACATGCAGCTTGAAAGTCCATGAAAAGCACATCGTAGTGACTCTTTGAAAAACCTTGAAATTTGCAGTTTGATTGTTTGGCTAATGAGGCAAAATAATAATTATGATAATCGAAAAATGGTGTGCCTGCATGTAGTTCATTCAAAAACGAAACAATCTTAGCTCTTCACTATTGTCAGTAGTGGAAGAGTTTGAAAAGATAAGTTTATTGACTTGAAAAAATCTGGTAGGTGTATGTTAAAACCATTGTAGTGATATTTTTAGCAGATGGGATCCTTAAAAAATGGACTTGTGTCCTGGAAAAGTATGAACTCTGTATGATTGTTTTTGTTAAACAGGGCAGACAAGGTGAAAGAGGTGAACGAGGAGCATCAGGGCCACAGGGACTCCAGGTAAGTGATACCACGGGACTCCAAATCCTGATGTTGTTGTGGTGTTGCCAAAGACAGCTAAAAATTGATTTTAAAATTGATTTTTATAATTGTAGCATTTTGTAGTCCATGTTATGGAGGACAACATAATTTATCATTGTTGTAGGATGTTTAACATGTTACACAAGCAGCTAACATGTTGCAGTATTTTAAATGGAATTTAAGAAAAATCTGCAACAGTTTTACCTAACTTTTTTTGGAGTTACTCCAGGTAACATCTGTCACTGACTTAAAAAGCAATGTTGTTGTGCCTGGAAACTCTAAAAATTACCCTTTGTGTTTCTTGTAAAGAATAATGGAAACAGAAGGTGGACAGAGCTCTTTAATAAAAGGTTACAAGGATGTACTCTACTACAAAAGTTTTATCTACTTAAGGTTTTTCTTTTTATATTTTAGGGAGCCCCGGGCAGTCAGGGGCCAGCAGGTTTACCTGGAAAGCCAGGAGAAACAGTGAGTGGCATTGGATACAATGCCAGATAATTTAAAAGTCATTTTTGTTATTATGTTATGAAACCTATTATTAAGTTATGAGACCTCATTTTGGTAAATTTCTAACAGTGTCACGTCCACGACTGCTCAAAATAAACTGAATATTTTGGCCTGAAGTTTATTACTAGATTCCATGTAATTCTATTGCTATCCTTTTAAAAAGCCTAGAACTACAACTCCAGTCAATGAAGTTTTCCTTAGAATCAATTATTTACAACACTTTTTATCTGGGAAGGTTAAAGAATGGTGAAACAAAAATTGACCAAGACACCTAAAATACTGGAAAACTTATATGTGTTCTGGAAAAGACAAAATTGGAAAATTGCTCCTGAAAAAGAACAAAAACCCTAATTTTAAAACCCAGTATTAAAATATTGCTGGTTTATGAACTTGGATATTAAAATGTCTTCTCCAATTCCGTTCAGAGTAGCCTTATTAATCTGTGCTTGTTAAATCACTTAGGGATCACCAGGAGAAAGTGGAGCAGATGGCACTCCAGGAGCTAGGGTATGTATTTCTAGGGGTAGTCAATAAGAAAAAAAATTACTGATATCAGAAAACTGCCCAATAAGTCGATACTGATAACTAGTGTCACAAGTCATACTTGTATGCTGTTTGTAATGTTTTAGTGTCACCAACAGTTTGTTTGATAGTATTTCATATTGTCAAGTCCTTCAGACAATGTTACAGCTCATTGATTGCCACCTATTTTTTTGTGCTATTGTTAGGGAGAACGAGGTGCTCCAGGAGAACGTGGAGCCTCTGGCATTGTTGTAAGTTTCCTCTGCACTAAGTAAAACAATAAACTTGAACATTTATTTTGATGAGTTCCCTTGGAAAGCTAAGTGAGGTACATGTATCACTTAAGAATGTGGGCATGATAGAGAGAGGGGATTGATTATCACATGTTTCCAAGTTGTGGTGTACTTCTCTTATTTCCCAGTCTGTTGGCTGTATTATTCTTGTGTGCTGAGTCTATGTCTTTCTGTTATGTCATGAGTTTGACTCAACTCCTTTAAATGTTGGGCTAAACATGCTTTCAGGTAACTTTCATCAACTTGCTACTTTCTTGTCTTTCTTTTTCGAATTTACACTTGCGCTGAGCAGCATTGATGCACTTTGGATGAAATCATTTTGTTGCTAGTGGACACAGGTTTTTCACTGTGTAAACTTAAGTTAATGTAAGTCTTGGAGGATTTAATTGTAGTAGGTGCTTATAGCCTTGAAATGTCATTTTTGTCAGTTTTCATGAACATGACTTGTAATTGTGACTCAACTAACAAATTCCTTTTCCCACCTGACAAGTTATTAATCAATTTTTTTGAAAACTTGTGTCCGGTGCATGCTTCTGTTTGTCAGAGCTGAAAAAAAGAACAGACAGACAGCCTTAATTATTTAGGCTGGATGAAAATTTTTTCAAGTTCTGCAACTTATGGGGTTGTGCTAAAACATTTTAAAACTAAAATTTGACAGCCATGTGTGCAGCAAGCTCTGAATGGATTTTTTAGTCCTAAGTATGCCATACTAAATGCAAATTAGCATTGATCTGTGAAGAAAAGTTGGCTTTGAATCGGTTGGAATTGACTTCAGGTATGTTATAATAACAATTATTCACTGGAGTGGAGGTGAATTCATAGTGGTGGATATTTACTGAGCAGCGTAGCAGCGAGGTAAATATCCACCACTTTCACGGACACCGAGATGAATATTTGTTTTAGTATATAATACCACACGAGTTAAATAATCAGCCAATTGTTGCCATTTTTGGTTACCAAAGCAAAACGGAAAGCCATTTTTTTCTCTGTTTCCTCAGGGGTGAATAGAACTTGCTATTCACCTCTGAGCTAGCCAATCAGAATGTGTGGAAAGCACTATTTTCTTGTGTGGTGTATACTAATTATAGTTATTTGATGTTAATTTCCTTTGTACTGTAGGGTGCACCCGGAGATCCAGGTGAACCTGGAGCTGCTGGTCTTGACGGCAAACCTGTAAGTTGCTAGTTATTTCTGTGGCATGGTTGCCATGGTTACCGATTTAGCTGCATGCTTCTTGTCCATATGTAACACGTTATTATAAGTTGTTTTTATTCATCAATGTGAAAAGTAGTCACTTGTAGAACACTTAATCTTCTCTAATGATGGTGATTATATAATTATTAAAGGGAGGGTTTCACAGTTCGACGCATGTCTGCATTATTCACTTGTGCATGCTTTTTAGCACAGGCCCAGTTTTTCCTTGTTTATGAACCAATGGTAAGCAAATCACCTAATTTTGCATGCAATTAGCTGTAAAATCATCAACCGTAGAATAAATACTAAATTCAATGGTCGACAGCTTTGGTAAAATCCACTGAAATCTTCTGCATTTTTCTGCCATGACTAACTATAGCATGTAATTACTAAACTGCATCTGAGTGGGGTTTTTAGAGCGATAACTTTGATAAGAAGCGAACAAAAGTATTTTGATTTATAGACATGCACACCGAACTGTGAAACCCTCCCTTTAAATGCTTGATGCCTGATTACACAATGGTATTTATTTTTGCCTATTACATGATGGCTTTAATGGTTTGACGACATTCTCTCGTGAGAAAGGGTGAAATAAATGCATCAGGCAACAAAGAAGAGCAACACTTATTCTCTGTTTTGCATTAATGTTTAGGGCGAGCGAGGTCTTGCTGGTCCACCAGGCCCGGTTGGCTCTCCTGGCCTTGCGGTAAGTGCTATAGTGTCGTTTGTAGATTGATCCATGCAGACTGAACAATCTTGTTGTTCAACTGATCTCATGCATACCATCTTGGTGTGGTGTGTTGTCCATTTATTGAAAGTAGTTCGAGTTTTGTCGGAGTTTGACTTTTACTGATTAGTACTGGTATATCAACTGTTTAAGGAAATGCTTGAGTAATAATCATGTGAGATAGAAACTATGCTCAATTCACTGTTATTTTTCTTAAGGGTTTACCAGGACAGCAAGGACGAGTGGGACCTCCAGGTGCCAAAGGATCAAGGGTGTGTACATTACATTATAAATTTATTAAATAAAGAAATGGATTACTACACTGCCAGTAATAATTAATTTTGTAGCATTTGATGTTTTTCTCGTGGGTTAGGGTTATTAATTATGGGTAGTAATGTGTTGCCTGAAGTTTATCACTTTCTGGCTAATTTGTTTGCACTGAATTATTTTACTTTTTTGTGAAATGCGGCGAATAAAACTTTTTGTTTGTCGTAATTGTTTAGGGAGATCCAGGACCCTTTGGTGAACGTGGATATGACGGAAAGGATGGAGAGCCGGTAAGTTACACTGATTGAAGTGTTTCCATTTAGTTGATCCAGTTCACATACAGTCAAACCTCTACTAATGGCTACCTCTCTACAACAGCCAACTCTCTACAAAAGTCACTTCTTTTTTTCCGGCAGATGTCCATACATTCACCCTTATTTAAATCTCTCTACAACAGCCACCTCTCCCCTAAAGCACATCTCACCTGCCAAAATGTCCTCTTGACAACAGCCAGTTAATCAATAACTGACTCATGGTGTATATGAAACTCCATTTTTATTGTAAAAGGTCGTGAAACTTGATATGTACATGTGCCTTGCATCATTGGTGGCTGTTTCTGTTTGGTTTCTGTGTTACATGTACCTTGCATCATTGGTGGCTGTTTCTGTTTGGTTTCTGCGTTATTGATACTGACTTAGCAATTTAACATTACAACGTTGTATGTGTGTAACTTGTTATATCTCTCCTTTGCAAACTTCATTACAGTTATACACTAAGTTTTAACTAAACTAGACCATTTTATTTGGGTTTCCATCAACAGGAATATGTCTTTCAGGTTTTCACTTTTTGACACCATATACATGACATTGCCCCTTAAAGTAATGCTCCTTCTTTGTTTACGTCTCATTTCTACAGGGACAGGATGGAATGGCTGGGCCTCCAGGACAGTCAGGCCCACCAGGAGAAAAGGTTCTTCTGTAACACTAAATTTCTGTTCTTGTCACATGTCAGTTGGACAATCTTTGTTTACTGTTGCCTTTTTTATCTCCTCATTGACATAAATTTCTCAAAAACATTATATGTGGTGTAGCAAACAGATATGATTAATTAAAATAGGCAGTCTGATGTTGTTCATGTAGGCAACTGTTTTCTGTTGCTTTGACAAAAACCAACAATTTTTATTGTTAAAAATAAAACTTTGTTATTTGTTGTAATGTATTTTCATGTTAGGGTGAGGATGGTGTACCTGGATCAGATGGTACTCCTGGTAGCCGTGGTGACACTGTAAGTTGATAGACTCCATGTTACCGTATGTCTATTCACTAATAGATCACAAATGACATCAAAATGTGGTAAGAACAAAAAAGTGGCAAACAAGCCATTAGGCGAGTTAGTCACTGATGTTCTTACCACATTTTAATGTCTTCTGTGATCTATTACTGAACAGATGCATGGCAATACGGAATCTATTCATCTAATATAATATAGAAACCATAAAATTGTTATTGACATAATCTTTGCATCTGCCCTCCAGTAGATCATAAGTAGGAACCACTCAAACCCCAAGAATAATTTATCATGCAGGTGAACCTCCCTTTGCAACCACCTCTTGTAAATGACCATCTCACCTCAGTGACCAGTTTTCCAAAATACTAAAAGTTTCCAAGTCAAATCACTATATTTGGCACCTCTTGTAAGCGACCACTTCTTGTCCTAGCTTGATATTTTGGATGGTCCCTTATGGGAGGTTCGACTGTATTACATAAAGTATGATAGCAGGACACCAGATACATGTACATTGAACTTTTACAGGAGAAAATTGGTTGTAATTGAATGGTCCCAGCTGGACTGCTAAATTACCCTTCTGGTGGTTTGACTAGGTCAAGTCTCTCATGTTCCAACCTGAAACATGTACCTTTTGTATGATAAAACCACTAGGGATGGACTGGTCTCTGCTTAACTCACTGCAAGATGCAAGGTGCAAGCATGATTTGACATAATAGTACAGTGATTTTCTGGTCATTTCAATTGGAATCGAAAAAGGGTGTACATCATTTGGTGGATTTCCCTTTTTTAACACAAACTTTTCACTCAAATGAGCTACACCATGGAAGTGTTTGGTTAAAAATTTTGTTTGTTCTGGCAAATGGTAAATGTTTTAGATAGTTCAATTCGGACGAAGCACATTGCTCCAGTTCTTGGAAATATTAAATATTTTAATGTTGATGTGCATAATGGTGCAATGATGTATTTAAGACACCTTTATGTATATTTGTTTTTGGGGATGTTTTTTTTTTTGCAGTGGGTTGAAAGTAGCATCAATGCCTGCCATCTTTGTTTCCAATGAAGTTAAGGTGTTACTCATTAAAACATTAATCGAGTACACTTGTGTTTTCTCAAGTTTGTTGGCAGGAGTCTAGCTTGCTTGTGAACTCTAAAAAGAATTTACAAGTCGACTTTGTTAGCCATGATTTGGAAAGGAGTTAGTGTATGGCTGTTTCTGTTGCAGGGTCCTCGTGGTTTACCAGGAACTCCTGGATTACCTGGCAGACCAGGGCAAATGGTATGTACACTTTTTTGGAGATGCAAGCTAAAAAAGGTAGCATGCTGCGCTACCATTGTTATTTTTTTAAAAAACTGAGAGAAACAATGTAGCAGGTTTTTTAACGTTTGCCACTTAAAGGCATGCTTGTAGCAAGTTGTAGGGTAAACACCCGCATATAAGAACAAGTGGATTAAGAACATCAGGCTAAAAGTTGGCCAATAAAGTACCATATATATAAGAACCAATTCAGCACGATAAGTAAAACATGTTCTTATGTAAAAAGAAAGAGGATGCCAGAATAAGAAATCACTTATAACTTAGGCATATTAAAGGACTATGGTGTGCTAGACCATACAAACTCTAAGAGCCATACTGTACCTGACAGAAAGGATAGGACTGTGGGATTATTACAGTTGACACCATTTTGCTGACCTTTACCAAGGGGATGATGCTGAGCTAAATTATACCTCTAGTATTGTATAATGTATAGTATTCCTGACACAAATTCTAAGAACATTTTCGGGCTGATTTCTCACTAAGCACCCAGTTAATTAGAACTTGATCAGCCTGAACCCCAAAATCATAGGTTCATATATGAGGATGTTCACTGTATTATTAAGGACAATCAATTTGTTTGAAAACATTTCTGTTGTGACAGAAGAATGAGCATTTTTTACCTGGCCACAACTGGATTGATTTGATTGTGTATTGACTAAAGGAGCTTAGTCGCGTTATTTTTGAGTTATTTTTGCCATGAACAACCTAACCCTACCCTTTCCTTTACTGAGATAGAAGATAGATTTGAGATCATCATAACCAGAGGTGAAGGAGTGTGGCTTTATTCACCTCCCAGTCCTTTGGCTGTTTCTCTAATCCAAATGTGAAGATATACTTAATATGCTCTCACCAAAAATATGCCTGTGCAGAAGAGCTTTGTTCTGGGGTGTATATTACGCCCTGTCATGGTTTAGTCAATTGAGAGTAGCCTGTGTTGCAGGAAAATATTTTCCCCTAAATAACTGGTGATATGTTAGCATCTGGGAAACAGGCTAGTTGAGGGGAGCTGAGTTTTGCTCTGTGTAGATGTTGCTGCCTCCTAGTCATCTGGACAGTTGTACTTGTCATGATCCATGTGTTCATTACGTTTTATCATAAGTAACTTTCATGGATGCTGAATTCATGATGAATACAAATCATAAATAAAACAGTTACTTACAAATATACGTTTGAAATGTTACTGTTTTAGGTTTTAAAATTTAAGTCATTCAGTGATTACTTGAGGAATTACACTTACTTTCTTGTAATAATTTAAAATAACATTTTAGGGACCTGCTGGCCCAATGGGAAGTGAAGGACCCCGTGGACCACGTGGAGAACCGGTGCTGAGTTGGTTTTTGTTTTGTTAGTAAGAAATCAGTGCAAAAGGGTATTTCACATCATCACAAGCTGGAAAAATCCATCCATCCATATTGCTGTATATTTTAATTCAGGGTTGTCACAGGTCAGGAAATGATCAGGGAAAAAACATTCTTCAAGGTCAGGGAAAAGTCAGGGAATTTTATTTTGAGTCCGGAAAATTGACATTTTGAAGAAAAGTCAGGGAAATTTGAAATAATTTAACACGGCTGTTTTAATACCATTGAGGGCTGGAGGAAACAATCAGGGTCACTGTGATCTCAACTATATTTTTCCTTAATGAAGAGGGAAAATTTGTTGAACACTTATCAGTCTTGATGAACGAGTAGAAAGGACAGCTGTAAGGGAAGGCTATTTTGTATTTATGTGTCAGGGAAATTTGATTTTTTTTTTTTATCAGGGAAAAGTCAGGGAATTTTGAAAAGTGATGTCTGTAGCTACCATGTCATTTGATAACATGTGGTATTTTAGAATAAAAAAATTCCATCCATCGTTCAGTCATCTGTCCATGTGATTTCTGAGAATAAAAATAATACAGAGAAACAAGCATGTGCTTAGTTTAAGTTGAACTATAAGCCAGTTTTTTTTTATCTCCATTATCAACAAGGTACAACTAAGTTGACTACTCCTCATTACAACAATGATGGCAAGTTTTCAAATTGTTTTAGAAGACACTACACAGTGTAGTGAAGGTTCCCTTTCTCCTGTTTTTCTCCTGGGTATAATTACACCTAGATTAACTATTATTAGGATAGTGATTATTTTTAAGTTGAACAATTATGAGCTTCTTTTAAGAATTTTTTTTTAAATATAGCTCAACATTTTCATGAAAAGTAGATAGTATAAATTACTGTTACATTACCATATCATACTGTATACGTGTATGTGACGGGCCAGATGATATGAGTTGGTCTGAAAAAAAAGCCACCTGACCACACACAAAAATTCATTTAGCATTACAAATGTTCACCAAGACACTAAATTATTCAAAACGTCTTGACAAAATCAAGTTCAGTAGTGGTGGTATGATAAAATATTTATTGACTGAGTCAGGTCGGGTCAGATGGGGAAGTATTTGCCTCTTCTTCCCTTTTGGACAGACCTTGTACACATGACATTTACATATCTGGCCCTCCCACTCAGTCGATAAGGTCATGTGCCTTTTGTAATGTGGCTGATGATCTTCTCTTCCTTACCAAGGGCGTCAAAGGACCTCCGGGCCCTCCAGGACGACCAGGTCCAACAGGAACTGCGGTATGTTATCCTGCTATTGTTATTTAGGAAACAGTGTTAAAAAAAAGAAACACTTTGCGTTGCAGTTTTTAGTAGTGTAAGAATTTATCAAGACTTCAGCTTTCAAGCTGACCCCGCAAAAGAAAATTGAATTTGAAATTATCAATATTTTAATCAAACTGGACGTTTCATGTAAGATACACATTTAAAAAAAATACACACACTCCTAAATTTGGAAGACATGTTTCAATCTCGTTCATACTGCTAACAAATTTTGGTAAAATAACACATGCTTTAAGCACTTTTTTGAGGTTTGACATTAACTTTCTCGAGAATGCATAAGTGTTAATCACGTGGTCACTGGGAGAAATTAATTTAGGTGAGATGTTTCAAGTAATATTCAAAAAAAATTACAGAGCTATAAGTAAATTTTTAGTAAAATAATAACTTTGGCACTTACTGCTCGACTTTGAATGGAATCCATTTTAATTGTTGATCTGTGTGCCATGAGCGTGGGAAAAGTAGGGAAAAAATCGAAAGCTCGTGATAGGTTTTGAACCTATGACTTCCTGGTATTGTGCCTCAAAATGAGTTCTCATTTCACACTAATTTGTAAGTAACCTTTGCAGTGATTTTATTTTCACTTTTTTATCCAACAGGGTCAGCTGGGTGTTCCTGGCATCAAGGGAGGCCAAGGCGAACAAGGAAGACCGGTAAAAATGCCATTATTAACAAATTAATTGATAATAATTAAGACAGTTGTATTGTTTCCTTGTAAGAAAAATATGCATGGGGCAACACACTGGCCTGATTGTTAGGTGGCACGTTAGACTCAATGTCAAACAATCTGTGCCAGGGTCACTGTGTTGTGTTCCTGGGCAAGACCTAGAATTGACTCTCACAATGCAGTGTTATATTCAGAATTAGTATAAATCTACCAGTGTTCTGTCACAAATGCTGTTCTCTGATTGGCCATGCTATTCACTATCCACTCTGTTGTAGATAGTGAGTAGCTTAGCAGTGTGCGGTTGCTAACAAAGTAATTTATTGGCTGACTCTTTGTGTTTTCGAAGTGTCTGTGAAGAGGATTTAGGTAAAGTTTTGAACTACTAATAGATTTCTACTAAAACAATTAGATTATCACCCCCCCCCCCCGACTTCTGTGCATGATAGTTGACTCAGGNGATTTCTACTAAAACAATTAGATTATCACCCCGCCCCCCCGACTTCTGTGCATGATAGTTGACTCAGGCAGTGCTGTCGCCAACTATCACGCTGTAGATGGGTGCCCGCAAATTGCTGACAAAATGCTGAAAGCAGCCTGAGACAGTCTAGCATCACATTCAGCAGCAGTGGCAATATTCCAAGTCCCTTCATGCTATGGAGTAGTCTTAGTCAAGGTCACTGCATTCTGTTCTTGGGCAAGACACTTTAATTCCACTTTGCCTCGCTCCATCCAAAAAGGTACCAGTGAATGTAATAGCTGGGGGTAACTCCGCAATGAACTAGTATACTACCATCCAATGTGTCACGTTCTTGGTCACGCTCTGAAAAAAAGAAAACATTTTCTTTGACATTGATATTGTGGTAAAAAACAAATCGAATGTGGTTTAGCGTGGTCTGTACTCTTATCGACAACGATATGCATCATCACAGTGGTCAAAATTGTTGTGGACTCACTCGGCTGCGCCTCACAAGTCCAGAACATTTTGACCACTGTGATGACGCATATCGTTGTCGATAAGAGTACAGACAGCGCTAAACCACATTCAATTTGTTAAGTTTTCCTTTTGCTTTTGTAATGCATCTCGTCAGAGTTTGACATAAACCATATGTAACATTTACATGATTGTTTTGACACTGATATTGTTCTTTTAATTGTTGCTATCCAGGGCTTACCTGGAAATCAAGGATCTCCTGGAAAACCTGGCCAAGCTGGTCCTCCTGTAAGATGTCTTGCCTGAAAATGTATTCAGTATATACCTCTTATAAGTTACAGAATGACTTTAATCCCTTTTGATCTATGGTCCAAGAGTGGGGTTCACGGGCCATAAATCAAAAAGGGAAAAAAGTGAAGATCCATAACTGTCAGTACCAAGTGAGAAGACAACATTAGAAGGATATTAGTTATAATCTCCATATGTGTGTTTGATGTAATATATTAAACACGAGGCAGTGTTTTGTCAGGATATCCAAACACCGAGAAGACAGTTGAAAATACGGTGTGCAGCGGAGTATTTTTGACAAAGTTCGAGGTGTTTGGATAGCCGATGAAACGATGTCTCGGGTGTTTGATATATCTTCTCAATCAAAACAAAAACTAAAGGGTAAACGGAGAAGTAAACTCGTCAAAATCTATGCTAATTAAGACCAGGTATCCAAACCTCCTTCACGTCTGTGATTTTCTTTGTTTTGACTTAATAAGTTATTAACGAGTTTGAGAGGGGTTCAGGGACAGCTTCAAATTCTAGCGGGCTGTACAGTAAGATATGGCCCACTGAATTGACCAATCAAAGTTCGCTTATTAACTTAGAGGTATAACAAAGTTATAACATGATGATTATTTGAACTCAACTACTGCCCTTCCTCATTTTTAAGTGGCTTCATTTGTTTTTAGGGACCCCCAGGACCGACAGGCCCTCCAGGCAGAGACGGAGCAGATGGACAAAAGGTGTCAATTGATAATAAGTAATAGTGTAGTGTGCAGTGGGGTTTTGAAGGAGCTCAGTCACGGTTTGCACATTTTGAAAAGTTAAGCCTAAATTTTTCAAACTCGTCGTTTACAATCCGTGTCAATCTTCGCCATCGTTGACCATCCTTGTTCCTTTATGGTTTATTACTATCTCTTTGATGTTTTTCTATCTTAGTAAACTATTATTTTCAGGTTTCCCTTCATTTAAAGGAGATTTTGTACGTGGCCGAAAAAAAGACAAAACACCGTGACTGAGCTGCTTAAAGCTGAGAGTAGATTAGTCTTGTGAAATAGTATAAGCCATGTTGGAAGAGAACTGGGAACATGAGTGGAGCTTGTGTAGCGAGTTATTGTGATAGCTTGAGAGAGCAGTCAACAACGTCAACCTTTTAGAAAGCTCTATCGTGGGTCCACTATTTTCTTTGTTTGGATCAGGTAACATTTCTAAATCTCTCTTTCAGTTAAAAGTTTCGTGTTAAAGCTGTTATTAATCAAGCTGTTTCAGGACCGTATACTGAGATTATCCGAAAATGCTTGTTGACCTGTTTAAGGTTAACTTAAACTGTCTTCAGTAACTTATAAAATTCTGATCAATAATACTTATTTATCTATAAAAGATTTTTCATTCTTTTTGTGCTAGGAACAAAATGGAACTGTTACGTGAGGAGACATTAAACAGTGTTTCGGATAATTATCTTTGCTTCATTTTGTGTAGGGTGCAGCTGGAGAACCAGGGCGACCAGGAAAGGATGGTCTTCCTGGACAACCCGTAAGTGCTAATTTTTTTTAATTTTTGTTCAATGTTCATATTATTTCTTAGGTATTAAGTATGGCGTAATGTTCTTTCAGTGTCTAGGACAGTCATGAGATTATTTTATGATTTGTCCAGTGATTTATGTTCCTCTCTGTCTTAATCAGGGTAAAAACGGCAAGGATGGCGAACCTGGCCCAGCGGGATCTGATGGCGGACCGGTGAGTGGTAATACTAGGAAAACATGATACGGCTGGCAATATCTGATAATGCAGGAAAAATATCCGAAAACAAGAAAAACATGATTCAACTGGAAATACCTGATGATACAGGAAAAATATAAAACAAGAAAAACCTGATAACACTGTAAAAACATGATTCAAGTGGAAGTACTTGATGTTACAGGGAAATTATCATAAAACAAGAAAAACTTCATAATACTGGAAAAACCTTGTTAGAAGCCCGAGAAAACGAGAGAAGACCTACTAACACATAAAACCTGATAAACAAGAGAAAACCTTGGACCATTCAATTCATGAAGAGGCAATTGAAAAGACTGATAAAAATTATCAACTTGAGGAACTTCTCTTCATTCACCACTAAAAAAATGGATTGCACGGCAGTAGTATTTCATGTTTGACAGCAAATGGGATGATACTGATCGTCATTGTTGGGAAATTGTTGGCCAACAGTTGGCCAACTGTCGGTGGACAGTGTACCAGCAGTCTGAGAGCTACTGTTTTTGGGGTTGCGTGACTTAAATCTGGTTTCAGCTTTCTGTTTTTTAAACTAACTCTCTCTTTTTCACCTTTTACTAGGGAGATATTGGACCTGCAGGACCTGCTGGCCCGAAAGGCGACAGAGGACCAAATGTACAGTAAACTCTTATTGTTATTATTAATATTTTTATCACTGCTAGTATTCTAATCTGGAAACTGAAAATACTAGGGTGTTTAGACTGTGTGTAATAATCAAATTTCCGTACAAGAAAGACTGGTAATTGTACAGAAGATTAACTTAGGATACTTGAAAAAATCAGGTTTTCTAGAATTGACTTTGTCTAAACTAGCTGCTCAGAGATCTTCTCCAAATATATGTGTCATGAAGCCTGATGTGTAGACCTTGAGGGCGATGGTCCTGAAGCCAAGCAAACAGTGATCCTAAGATTCGTGCTGAAAAGTCCACAACTGTGCTATGTCTTAAGTTTTGTGTTCAACACACCAGCCGAATTACGTAACTTCAGTTTTTCCCCAAAAGCTCAGGAACTTCAAAACGGGGGCAAATGGTATAGAAATTTCTTGGGAAAGTTTCCAGAAAATCCAAAAATTGTTCAATTTCAGACTTGCGAACCATTCAGCTTAAATTTCTGGCAATTCTGAGAGCAAAATTAAATATAACAGGAATTCCCCGAAAGAGAGGTGCCCTTTTTGGAAATTCTGGAAGATACTGTTCCCTTCGTTACTGGAAGTTTTCCTGAAATGAAAATGTAATTTTGGGTTGAACGCAAAGTGCCCCTTGTTTGGTATAAGTATGCTGACCTGCTTTGTCATGTCCAGGGCCCAACTGGAGCCACAGGCCCGGCTGGAGCACCAGGCGCTGCGGGCCAAAAGGGAGACACTGGAGCACCAGGACAAGACGGACGCAGTGGTCAACCAGGATCACCGGTGAGCCTTTACTTAGACTGAAATATATCAAACACAAAAGACCGATTCTCGCCACATTTTCAAACACTGAGAAGAGAGTTGAAAATACGATTCAAAGCAGAATGTTTTTGACGAGCTTCTAGGTGTTTGGAAATGTGGTCAAACACTGTCTTGAGTGGTTAATAAAAAGAAATTGAAGCAGTGGTCCAGGTAGTAGGTTGTAACCATCAAAAGTCACCGGGTTTTGAAAGTTCTGTTCTTTTGGAAATTATAGTTCCTTGTATCTTGTTGTCCCTGCATCAGAATGAGAATATTCCTAAAGAATACACCTTTTGTATGTTGACTTGGTCATGTTTTATAGGGACCACGTGGTAAACCTGGACCAGCTGGCACTCCCGGAGCACCAGGGGCAGATGTAAGTTATAAGCAGTTAATTCGGATGTGCAGATGTCCTGGCTTGTGGAAGATAACGGAACTATTTATTTTATTATAAGAGAAGTAGCATTCATTCTAGTGAGCCTCCTGAGGTGTGGTCCAGATTTTGCAATAATGACGACCTACCAATAAGTTTTAGTGATTATTATTTTGCTTTTTGGGAACATTCTACTCACCCTCTAAGTTTCTATTACTGTAAATGAAAACCTCTTTTAAGATATTTTTGGTTTACAGATGAGCTTCAACTTTTACAAGCGTGGCTTTAAATTAATAAGTGGATATGCGGAACATAGTAAAGTGCGAATGGTACAACCAGCATGTAGACATAACCAACACACAAAAAACTTGGGAATGCATGTGAAGTATCTGTCTAACTTGTTCATTTTCGTAGAAGAAACCTACTGGCCCAGTTGTTCAAAGGGTGGATAACGCTATCCGCCAAATAAATCACCATCTAGTGGTTAGTGTAGATTGTTTCGTCAATGCTTATCCACTAGATAGTGATTTATCCGGTTGATAGTGTTATCCACGCTTCAAACAACTGGCCCCTGTTATGTACTTTGTGTGATAGTTCTTGTGAAATATGAGCTACAAGATGATACCAACTCATAGAGTATTTCCAATGCAATTGAGACTTCCACTGTCATGTTCCGAATGGGCTTGCATTAGAAGATGAAATTCAATCATCTGTACTACAGTTAGAGCTCTCTACTCACATGTGTTTGTAATGTGTAGGGTTTCAATGGAACAAATGGTAATCCTGGTATTCCTGGACGCTCTGGGCTTAAGGTAAACAAAATTTAATTTTACTTTTCTAGTTCATCCTAACATGAGTTAAAATGGATCACTAACTACACAAGANACAAAACACCGTGACTGAGCTGCTTAAAGCTGAGAGTAGATTAGTCTTGTGAAATAGTATAAGCCATGTTGGAAGAGAACTGGGAACATGAGTGGAGCTTGTGTAGCGAGTTATTGTGATAGCTTGAGAGAGCAGTCAACAACGTCAACCTTTTAGAAAGCTCTATCGTGGGTCCACTATTTTCTTTGTTTGGATCAGGTAACATTTCTAAATCTCTCTTTCAGTTAAAAGTTTCGTGTTAAAGCTGTTATTAATCAAGCTGTTTCAGGACCGTATACTGAGATTATCCGAAAATGCTTGTTGACCTGTTTAAGGTTAACTTAAACTGTCTTCAGTAACTTATAAAATTCTGATCAATAATACTTATTTATCTATAAAAGATTTTTCATTCTTTTTGTGCTAGGAACAAAATGGAACTGTTACGTGAGGAGACATTAAACAGTGTTTCGGATAATTATCTTTGCTTCATTTTGTGTAGGGTGCAGCTGGAGAACCAGGGCGACCAGGAAAGGATGGTCTTCCTGGACAACCCGTAAGTGCTAATTTTTTTTAATTTTTGTTCAATGTTCATATTATTTCTTAGGTATTAAGTATGGCGTAATGTTCTTTCAGTGTCTAGGACAGTCATGAGATTATTTTATGATTTGTCCAGTGATTTATGTTCCTCTCTGTCTTAATCAGGGTAAAAACGGCAAGGATGGCGAACCTGGCCCAGCGGGATCTGATGGCGGACCGGTGAGTGGTAATACTAGGAAAACATGATACGGCTGGCAATATCTGATAATGCAGGAAAAATATCCGAAAACAAGAAAAACATGATTCAACTGGAAATACCTGATGATACAGGAAAAATATAAAACAAGAAAAACCTGATAACACTGTAAAAACATGATTCAAGTGGAAGTACTTGATGTTACAGGGAAATTATCATAAAACAAGAAAAACTTCATAATACTGGAAAAACCTTGTTAGAAGCCCGAGAAAACGAGAGAAGACCTACTAACACATAAAACCTGATAAACAAGAGAAAACCTTGGACCATTCAATTCATGAAGAGGCAATTGAAAAGACTGATAAAAATTATCAACTTGAGGAACTTCTCTTCATTCACCACTAAAAAAATGGATTGCACGGCAGTAGTATTTCATGTTTGACAGCAAATGGGATGATACTGATCGTCATTGTTGGGAAATTGTTGGCCAACAGTTGGCCAACTGTCGGTGGACAGTGTACCAGGAGTCTGAGAGCTACTGTTTTTGGGGTTGCGTGACTTAAATCTGGTTTCAGCTTTCTGTTTTTTAAACTAACTCTCTCTTTTTCACCTTTTACTAGGGAGATATTGGACCTGCAGGACCTGCTGGCCCGAAAGGCGACAGAGGACCAAATGTACAGTAAACTCTTATTGTTATTATTAATATTTTTATCACTGCTAGTATTCTAATCTGGAAACTGAAAATACTAGGGTGTTTAGACTGTGTGTAATAATCAAATTTCCGTACAAGAAAGACTGGTAATTGTACAGAAGATTAACTTAGGATACTTGAAAAAATCAGGTTTTCTAGAATTGACTTTGTCTAAACTAGCTGCTCAGAGATCTTCTCCAAATATATGTGTCATGAAGCCTGATGTGTAGACCTTGAGGGCGATGGTCCTGAAGCCAAGCAAACAGTGATCCTAAGATTCGTGCTGAAAAGTCCACAACTGTGCTATGTCTTAAGTTTTGTGTTCAACACACCAGCCGAATTACGTAACTTCAGTTTTTCCCCAAAAGCTCAGGAACTTCAAAACGGGGGCAAATGGTATAGAAATTTCTTGGGAAAGTTTCCAGAAAATCCAAAAATTGTTCAATTTCAGACTTGCGAACCATTCAGCTTAAATTTCTGGCAATTCTGAGAGCAAAATTAAATATAACAGGAATTCCCCGAAAGAGAGGTGCCCTTTTTGGAAATTCTGGAAGATACTGTTCCCTTCGTTACTGGAAGTTTTCCTGAAATGAAAATGTAATTTTGGGTTGAACGCAAAGTGCCCCTTGTTTGGTATAAGTATGCTGACCTGCTTTGTCATGTCCAGGGCCCAACTGGAGCCACAGGCCCGGCTGGAGCACCAGGCGCTGCGGGCCAAAAGGGAGACACTGGAGCACCAGGACAAGACGGACGCAGTGGTCAACCAGGATCACCGGTGAGCCTTTACTTAGACTGAAATATATCAAACACAAAAGACCGATTCTCGCCACATTTTCAAACACTGAGAAGAGAGTTGAAAATACGATTCAAAGCAGAATGTTTTTGACGAGCTTCTAGGTGTTTGGAAATGTGGTCAAACACTGTCTTGAGTGGTTAATAAAAAGAAATTGAAGCAGTGGTCCAGGTAGTAGGTTGTAACCATCAAAAGTCACCGGGTTTTGAAAGTTCTGTTCTTTTGGAAATTATAGTTCCTTGTATCTTGTTGTCCCTGCATCAGAATGAGAATATTCCTAAAGAATACACCTTTTGTATGTTGACTTGGTCATGTTTTATAGGGACCACGTGGTAAACCTGGACCAGCTGGCACTCCCGGAGCACCAGGGGCAGATGTAAGTTATAAGCAGTTAATTCGGATGTGCAGATGTCCTGGCTTGTGGAAGATAACGGAACTATTTATTTTATTATAAGAGAAGTAGCATTCATTCTAGTGAGCCTCCTGAGGTGTGGTCCAGATTTTGCAATAATGACGACCTACCAATAAGTTTTAGTGATTATTATTTTGCTTTTTGGGAACATTCTACTCACCCTCTAAGTTTCTATTACTGTAAATGAAAACCTCTTTTAAGATATTTTTGGTTTACAGATGAGCTTCAACTTTTACAAGCGTGGCTTTAAATTAATAAGTGGATATGCGGAACATAGTAAAGTGCGAATGGTACAACCAGCATGTAGACATAACCAACACACAAAAAACTTGGGAATGCATGTGAAGTATCTGTCTAACTTGTTCATTTTCGTAGAAGAAACCTACTGGCCCAGTTGTTCAAAGGGTGGATAACGCTATCCGCCAAATAAATCACCATCTAGTGGTTAGTGTAGATTGTTTCGTCAATGCTTATCCACTAGATAGTGATTTATCCGGTTGATAGTGTTATCCACGCTTCAAACAACTGGCCCCTGTTATGTACTTTGTGTGATAGTTCTTGTGAAATATGAGCTACAAGATGATACCAACTCATAGAGTATTTCCAATGCAATTGAGACTTCCACTGTCATGTTCCGAATGGGCTTGCATTAGAAGATGAAATTCAATCATCTGTACTACAGTTAGAGCTCTCTACTCACATGTGTTTGTAATGTGTAGGGTTTCAATGGAACAAATGGTAATCCTGGTATTCCTGGACGCTCTGGGCTTAAGGTAAACAAAATTTAATTTTACTTTTCTAGTTCATCCTAACATGAGTTAAAATGGATCACTAACTACACAAGAAGGTTAGGAGGAAGTCTAATTAAAAATAAAACCATAAGATTATAACAACGTGTTTTTCACTTGCGCATTGAAAGAGAATGGCGATTGGTTTGGTTTTCGTTTTCTACCTTTAGCGATTGGCTTAAAAATCTCACGTCACTTTGTCAGCCAATCAGAAAAATGTATTCGCGCATGTTTTCGCGCGTTTCACGTTTACTACATGTAATTGACTTGAGTTTTGATTGGTTCCTTGGATTAGCCAGAGTGATTACTTTGGTTCTGGTTTTATGACACTCAGTATGAAGTCCTTTGACCACAAGTACTGGAAAACTATGTGTTTTCTTTTTATCTTCCTAACTGATGCAACTGCTATTTAAACCCCACTTTGTTTAAAAATTTAGATAACAAAGGAGACAGGAAATAAATTTTGGTAGCTGTGGTCAATCAACATTGTGCAAGTGTACCATTGAAGACCACTCCATTGAGCCTCCTTGGTACGATAATCTGCCGAGGAACACGAGGTTGTCACCAATTTAATTGGTCATCTCTTTCATCCAGCTGTGTTTAATTTTCAGGGAGAACGCGGCGCCCCAGGCGATCCCGGGAGTCCTGGCAAACCTGGCCCAGCGGGTGCCCCGGGCCCGAAAGGTGATGCTGGTCCACCTGGCATCCAAGGAGAAAAGGTGACGATCAACTGACGAAGTTCTGTAGCTACAATCGGGGACAAAAGTCTTCGGGACACGAATTATCTGTGTTTTACAACTGAAGTTTGAGAACAGTGCTGGTGTCCTTTTCAAAACGCGTTGCTTTTTCCCCTCCCCACCCAATACAATGGTGAAAATCAGAAGAAATTGCAGCTACTAGTTTTCAACATTGTATGTGGGGTGGAGAAGAGGTTCTGTATTCGTGTCTGGCATGTGTGCAAAAGCGCCAAAACTGCAACTTTGTCCCAAGACGTTTGTCCATGATTGTAGGTGTCTTTATCGGGGGCAAAGCTCAAGAGCGTGGTGCTCCAGCAGATAATTCACAGTAGTATATAGGGTGGGGAAAGTGGATAGTGTGAATACTGATCACAAGCCTGCAAAAGCAGTTGTTGAGGCGTGAAAGTGAGATGCTGGAGCACCTCTTATTCAAGGACAAAGGATGAAGATCAATTAACGAAGTTCTGTAGTTAGATGTCAAGAGGGGGGGAAAGGAGGAGTGCTAAAGTAGATCATTCATTTTAGTATATAGGAGGGAGGTAGCAACTTGTTACCGTAAAACCTGGTTATGTAGGGAAGCTAGGGCAAGCTGCTTTGGAGGCATGGAGGTGAGATTCTGGACCCTCTCGTAGCCAAGGAGCAAAGGTGACAAATTTACAAGGTCGAGGGCCCAGTCAGTGGTAGTAAATATAATAATGTGGAGATAATAATAAGATGCTACTTTAGTTCGTGGTCCTGTAG